TTATGTTTTGATTTTTAAATTTAATAAATATTTTTTATTTTTAATACTATTTTTTTATTAAAAAAAAATCTTATAATTAATAATTATTAATATTTAGAAAGCAATATTAAAATGTAATATTTTAATAATTAAAGAAAATTTTTTAAACATAATATATTGAAATTAATATTGAATTTTTACTTTTTTTTAATAAAAAAAAAAAATAAATAAAATTTAATATAAAGTTTTCTGTTTATTTACATATATATTTTAAACATATTGTATTATTTTCTGAAGTTGTAATATGGATTTAAAATTTTATAAAATGAATTATTAATTTTGGAATAGAATGTAATTTGCAAATTTTTAAAAAAATTTAATTCTAATTTTCAATGTTATGAAAATTGATAAAATTGATATAATAATTTAAGAAAATACACAATATAAAATTTTCATGTGTCAATACATAGATTAATAAAGAATTAATTTTAAATAATGTTTATAGAATATTGAACTTAATATTTACTAGATACTCATTAAATATTTTATCATTGCAAAAATCTTAAACATTTATACAATGTTACATTAATACTATTAGTAATATAAATGTTATATATAGTACTTTAAAGAGATTATAATGTACATGTAACATAAATATTACTAATATAAAATATAATTATAGAAAGGTTTTGATAAAATGAATAATACTAACAATGAGGTTCAATTTACTATCAAATTAACAAAATATAATATAAATTTTTCATTTGTCATACATAATGTAAACGAGCATTTAGAAATTATTTGGAATTTAGTTTAATATGCATAATCTACAGGTCAAAAATTTGAAAAAAAATTAGTTTTTAAGAATACGGTACAAAAATGTGATAAATAAAAAGTTGGTAATTTTATACAATATCAAATCAATAATGATTTAATAGCGCAAAATTATAAGTTATACATAAAACAAAGACAGAAATTTACAATATGTAATACAAAATGGTCACAGGAAAAAATAAAAATATGAAACTATCATAGTATTCATACTTCTAATACACACTTACATGAAATAATGTTTTGTAAATGTACACTAATTGTGATTAAGTATATCAATTCTATTTTTCTTAATTGTAGGTCACATTGCAAACTCTTACTAGATTAACAAAGATTCTGGACGTTATAATTCTTAAGCAGGAAGCCTCTAACTTTCTTATATTTAAAGGATGAAAACATTAAAATAATTCACACCATTCATTGTACCGTACTATTAAATTTCATTAAATCATCTAATATAATTCAATGATAATTAAAGTCTTGATTTCTATTTGATTACAATGTTATGAATCATGGAAATAAAAGGAAGAAGATAAATAATCTGATAGATATCAGCGCATACGATAAGTATTAGTCTCATGTACTTGGCACAACTCTCCTTTGAAGTCCAATTCAATGCTGAAATCCAAATCTCTGTAGTTCCTTGCATTGGGCTTCATTGAAAATACACCATATATTTCTTCTCCTTTCTTAACGGTCATATATTCATCAAAGTAGAATACAGTTTGTTTCCAATGAGTATACTGTACTTCTGGTGCTGTACTGAAGCCGATACGTTTGTGGCACTTGGTGAATTCGATGTTAAAGAATGTGACTAATGCTTGCACATAGTCATTTCTACGAACTTGTAGCGTAAATGGTGACGAAAATTCTAAATCAGCCTTAGTTACTGTGTATAAATCAACTTCTTTAATGAGGCATGCATTTGTAACAACTTGTTTTGGGTCCACAACATCCACTAGAGGTTCACTAATTGCTACTTTTCTTATACTACTCATATCAAATCCATATACATCATCCCACCAGTTTATTTTTTCATCTTTATATTGTCTATCTTCAATGCCACAAATAAATAAAGTTGCTTTATCAGGAAATAACATTCCATCTTCACGAAGCCATTTATCTCTAGCAAAAAGCACTGTATCTAACATTGATTCATAAAATAAACAATAACCCATCCATTCAGAAATAATTATGTCAACTTTTTCAATGCCATCAGGTAGCGAGACCTCTTCAACTTTGCCTTTAAGTATTGTTATGACATTTGACAGTTGATTTGCTTCCACAATTTTTTCTGCATATTCAACAATATTAGAACACTCAATACCAATAACTCTGGCTGCTCCAGCTTTAGCAGCAAACATTGAAAGTATACCAGTTCCACAGCCGATATCAAGAACAGTTTTTCCTTTGAAAAGATGCTTATTGTGATACATAGAATTACGATAAGTCACTGTACGCACTTCATCCTTCAGCATTTCTTCATGAATTCCATAATGTGCATATGAGTCAAAATAATAATCTCGAGATGTCATATCATCCACAGATATAGATTCCCTACAAGATGATGGTGTTGCATCTTTGTTTAATGCAGTATTTTCTGTAACTTCCATAGATTCCATTTTTGATACCTATAATAATACAAAAACAAAAATTATTAATGACAAAATATAATATATATTATATTTTATATCATTAATAATTATATATATATAATTATAAATATATATAATTAATCTAAAAGAACATAAAATATTTTAATTATATTGATATTATTGGATTTATTAGATGAAAATATAACATTGTATTAAAAAAATATATTTCTATAATAATTAAACATATTAATTAAATTATTATTCATTTTATGAAAAATATTATAACTAATTAGGATTTATACATATTTAAGAAAAAAAATTTCAAACACGTGATATGAATTGATTATCTTAAATTAAAATATATAAATGTTTTTTCATTTAATATAATAAAAATTATTATTATGTATGTCTAATAAAAATTATTATTAAATATTAATTACAATGTTGTTCATCAGTAACAGAAAACTTAAAGACTTCACAACGATGAAGTCGTTAAATATACTCGTTTTTGTCGACACCAAAGACGTACACGTGCCCGCCAAAACGAATGGCGTCTATTTAAGATCGAATGATCAAACGAGATTCTTTACACGCACACATATTTCTATATTATCATATAAAAAGTACAAGCACATACAAAGGAAACGTAATCTAATTTTCTTGTAATAATATTGACAAATAATTTCAAATGATTAAAAATTATTCTTAAAAATATGTCTAGGAAACTTAAAGAAATAAGTGCGAGCTAATCAATTTGTCTTTAAGATACTTAGCTATAGTGAAAACTATAATGACAAACGACATTCAAACATTTTCTTCTTTTAAAAGTTTATGAAATATCGCTCATTGCTCGTAATAATATTAATATATCAAAAATGTTATTAAGATTTTTTCTCTTTACTTTCATGAAAATATTGAGCTAAAACTTACTGAATTCTCTGCTGTGCACATGCCACTCTGGTTGATTTCTACCGGCACTTCATTACTCGACGCCATTTTGTTCCGCGTCACAGCAGACGACCACAGACAGGAACGTAACATGAAGGCACATGGCAAAATCTAAATATGATTCTGTCAACAAATATTTAAATAGTGATTATTGAAAATAATCGAATTTATTCGTTGATTTATTTTATAGATTTTATAATGATATTTAATTGAAACTTATGTTTCAGGTTAATTAATATTTTATTTAGATATAATTGTCTTTGCTTATAAATAAATGAAAGAATAACTAGCCTAATGTCAAGATTACGTATATATATTTATAAATTTATAGATATTTTTCAAAATAATTTTCATTAATTTTTATTTTTTATTCTTATTATAATTATATTAAAATTCTTGGAATAATATATATTAACCTATAAACATATATTCAATTA